CCAACCACCAGAGTAGTGGTGTGTTAATATGTGAGAAAAAGCCCCCCCCCTTTTGGAAGGCTGCAAAGGTTGAGAAACACTGTTCTAATGGCTATCATCGTGGATGGTAAGGATCTAACTTTTTATGGGATTCTACTTTTCAGCTTACCAGCTCAGGTGGGAAAATTGGCATGTGTTAAAAACGAAATGATGTTTACACTCGTCTTTGAGCTGGAGGAATGCACTGGAAACAATGGAAGGATCCAGGCACAGCTCCCCAGAGAGTGGGGAATCAACCTGCTGGGGGGAAAACAGCTAAAACAGAGGACGTAGCTCATGGCACATGGCCTGAATCCAGGGGGTAGGGCGCCAGTTTGTTCAACAGGGTGGAAATAGGTTTAGTCCCACTCCTTTTTTGATTTTAATCATGGGGGGCAAACTTCCACCCTGCCTTTTCAGGGAGATTTGTGAAGATTCAGTAGGGACTGTTGCTCTCCCCAAATCAATTGTGGCGTAGATTAGACTCTGGTGCCGAAACAGGCAATCCGCATATCAAGAGCCAGGAGCCAAGACTCACACAGAGTGTCAACATCCATTATAACCTTTTCTGCTAGCTCAGGAGAGATTATGGCTTCTTAATGAGGGCAATGGGGTGCATTTCTGTTCTTGATCCCGGCTCAAATGCCTCACTGCTCCGCTGTCTGAAAAAGTTCTTTGCAACAAGCGACGAGTCGGACGTTTGCAGGCTGTTTGGTCAGCTTGTGGACATCTGGTTAGAAATAGCAGCTGAAATATTTCTGAATAGTTTAGAGCGGAAGAATTCTGGGAGGTCTTTTGGTGCCTGGCAGGCAGAAGAGACGAGCAAAACTAAACCCCAGGAGATGAGCGGGCCCCAGTGGGAGTCTTCGTAAGAGATGCTTACGGTTTCCTTGATGTTTGTGTAACAAGGAGCCGGAAGGGGATAATCCATCATCTCAGGGATTTTGTTCCTAAATATGCTTAACTCAGCTGCTGAGTTAACCCATTTTTCTGGGTTTGTACCATATCTCAAGTGGGTTCACACAATACCCTGGAACGAGTCAGGTAAAAAGGTAGCAGATGTATTCACACAATTCAGCTAGCATCAAACTAATTTAGTATTCTGGTAAGCTTAGCTTAGTGTGCAAACCCAGCCGGTCTGGTTAGGTTTTGCTTCAATATCATGTACAAAACCAGAAAAAATGGCCAGCTGGCCGGCCTGCCTTCCCTCCTTCCTTCCTTCCTTCCTCCCTCCCTCCCTTCCTTCCTTCCTTCCTTCCTTCCTTCCTTC